GCCCTAAATCACAGTTACACAGAGTGGCAGAGTGGGATTTGATACCAACACCTTGGGTGCTGCTTCAGTGGCTCCAAGTGCTCCAAGGACTAGCGGGTCTCAAACTCACCTGTGACCAGGAACCAGTGTACCAAGAATGAATCTGTGACCATAAGGACTACTAGGGCAGTGACCCATCTAAATAGGAGCAGCTTCTGTTCACTGTCAGCTGAGGGTCTCCTTGCAGAAACACCAGCCATGGGTGTTCAGATATGAAATTTTTTCGAGAGGAGCTAGAGATCCCGGTTTTTTATGTGAAATTTTCTTGGGTTTTAAATGTTGGCAAAACAATGTATGAGCCAAACCACACATAAAGGCCAGATCCAGGCCCAGGCCACCAGTCTGCAACCTGTCCCCACAATCTTCAAGGAAGACTTGGGCAGAGGGCTCAGAGAAAGTCCACTCCTGAGCACTCCAGGACAGCTCTGTCCCATAGAGTGACACCATAACTACCCCCACCTGTCCCCCAGGCATCAGACTATGTGGGGACTAAACCTGACAAATGAAGAGACAGACTTAGGAGAAATGAGTAGGTTTCCTGAGGTGTCTGGCTGGTGAGGGTCAAGACAGTCCCCAGGTAGTGACTCTTTGTAGGTACTTGGCTGGAACCTGGACAAAGCTGGGCAGCCCTGGGGCACCCATGCAGGCCGGGAACCCAGCAGTTCCAGTGGCCCCAGCCAACTTGGGCTCACCTTCCATTCTTCCCCACAGTGGCGAGAGGAGCGCTTCCGACAGACCAGTGAGAGCACCAACCAGCGGGTGTTGTGGTGGTCCATTCTACAGACCCTCATCCTCGTGGCCATCGGTGTCTGGCAGATGCGGCATCTCAAGAGCTTCTTTGAAGCCAAGAAGCTGGTGTAGCCATCCCAGGCCTCACAAGCCATCCTCCCAGGCTGGGGGAGAAAGGACCTCCTGGAACTGACTTCTCTCTGGCAGGAGGACTGCTTCCCAGATGTAGATGTTCTGGAGGGGAGAGGGGCTGCAGATACCCCCAGGCACAAGCTGAGGGCAGCAGCTTGGCTGGCTGATACTGAGTAGATGGTAGAGCAAATGCCTGCCCTCTCCCCTGGCCTCTGGGCTCTTTGCGGTAATCACCCAGGGGCTGGTGAAGCCACTGGGGGCTCCACTGGCACCTCAGAATCACAGTGTTACTGATCAGGGATGTGAGGCTGCTGTCTGGGTGGATTGGGGGAGGGGGAGGGGTGGGAAAGCCAGTTTTCCTTCTGTCTTCCTTTGCTACCTTGGGATTTTGAGGAGGTTGGGGTATGGCTGTGATTCCCTGCCACCCTGGGAACCTCGCTCTTCTCTCTTTTGGCCTAGACCTGCTGATCCAGGGTGTGCGTGTCAATTGAGGGTAGGGTGGAGGGGGTTGCAGTGTGGGAAAGCGGCCCTGCGGTTGACCCTGGCTGCTTCACATGGTCATCCATTCTGGGGCTTGAGGAACTGGGGTCAGGCCAAGCAGAGGCCTTGGTGCTGGTTGGGGTTGGGGCCTTCAGAGTCTTAGTTACTGATTTCATTTTCAGTGAGTCTAGGTTTGTTACATTGGTTTCCCAATAAAAAATTGACTTCTCGTCCAGTGTGAAGTTACTCAACTATCAGTGGGCATAACGCTGCAAAATGCTTCAGAGAATATCAGTTCTTCCAATGGGCAAAGCACTTCACATTCCAAATGAATTCCTACATCTCACCTTCATTCTTTCCATCCTCTCCAGGCCTTCCTGTGGTGGGGAGTGGTGGGTTTGTCCAAGGCCATCCAGCAAGTAAATATAGTGGAGTTGGGCTCAAATCCATACCATTTCCTCTGTGCCAGCTCCGTTGTGCAGTGCCCTCCCTTTGCAGACCCAGTGGATAGAATTGTCATGGATGCTGCAAAAAGGTGCCGGGTAAGGAAGGTGCATTGAGCGGAGGGGTGCTTCAGGTGCGGGAAGGACAGAGTCCCTGCCTGGTGAAGATGAAGGTGTTGATGGGCTTAACCAAGAGCAAGTGACTTCAGCAAGGACCATTAAGGAGAGGAAGGATTCTGATGAGATGGCAGGGCAGAGGTGGGTGGGGGAACCAGGCAGAGAACTGGTATGGAGAGGGATGTCCTTTCAGCTGGAGGGGAGGGTTGTGGGGAAGTTAGGAAGGTTGGACGAGAGTTAGAGGAGACTTGAACCCCAGGTAAAAGATTTGGATATAACCACCTGTCGACTGAAAGTTTTGAGAAACACCACCTGAAGATAAATTTGAGAAAGGTTAATCCAGCAGTATAAGAAAGTAGGGACCAGGAGACAAGTTTTGGGGCTGTTTGACTTGCCAGGAGAATGTAATCTGGGCTCATGTTGCCACCTAGGCCTGCTTCACATTAAGGAAAAAAAAACAAAAACAGGTTTAGAATTACAGAAAATGTGAAGATAGTTTTCCCTATCTTCCCTTGGGTTAATGGTTAAAACCCAAACTCTGTAAAATAATTTAAAGAGGTTTATTCTGAGCCAATGTGTGTGACAGTGGTCCAGGGAGCCACACCCAAGAAGTCCTGAGTAAGTGGTCCCAAGGTAGTCAGGTTACAGTTTGGTTTTACATATTTTAGGGAGACGGAATTGTAGGTAAAAATCATAAAACATGGAAGGTGTATATTGGTTTGGCCTGAAAAGATGGGATGTCTTGAAGCAGGGGCTTACAGCTTATAGGTGGAGTCAGAGATTCTTTGATTTATAATTGGTAAAGGACAATTACCAATTGTCTTGGCTGTGACAGTTTCTCAGACCTTCCTTGATTTTGATGATTTCTTGACAGTGTTGAGGAGTACAGTTCAGGTATTTTGTAGAATTTCCCTCGGCTGGGATTTGTCTGTTGTTTTTCTCATGATTAGACTGGGGTTATGGGTTTTTGAAAAAAGACCACAGAGGTGAAGCGCCCTTTTCATCTCATCATATCAAGGGTACTTATTATCAACATGATTTATAACTGGGTGTCAGATTTTAAATTTAGTTAATTTGAATTTTTGTATAAAATCTCATTTCTTGAGATAGTGAGATGTGACACTGGTGGGGCTTCATCCTCATATGGCAAAAACTAGCTGGATGGAGTGGTGGTTGTCCTCTTGAGAGGGCTTGGGCGTCCCAAGTCACGCAGTCCCACATCCCTGCTTCCATCACTGGCCTTTCCTGACTGGTTTCTGCAGGAGGTCAGCCTTGCCTTTGTCATCAGCAAATCTGAGCTGGATTTGCCAAGGTTCTAGTGTAGGTGCAGTGCCCTGGGAGAGTCGACAGGAAGGGGAGCAAGTAGGTTGTGTACTTCTGGGCTTAAGGGGCAAGGAGATTGCTGGGAATGATTAATTTCATACCCATTGTGAAGTCCTCTCTGAAACACAGTGATTAAGATCATAGATTGTGTAAGGTTTTTGGATGGTCTGCGCCCGAGAAAGAAAGATGAGCAGAGTGAAAAGGGCAAGCAACCAGGCTTTATTGGGGGAAGGGAAAAAAGAGCACTCCCGGGCGAGGTTCACTGGCCCCGAGAGAGGGGGCCAGAGAAGTCGCGCTGCCCGGGAGTTTTAAGCGGGCTTATATAGGTTTTAGAGTTGGGGGTTGGGGGTTTTCTGGGGCGAAGAATTTTGGCGCGAAAAGTGGGGAGTTCTTTGTTGTAGTTTTAGGGTGGGTGTTGAGAAGTAGGAGGGGCCGGTGATATTTGTGGACCCCAGGGACCAAAACTTCTCTTATCCAGGTGAATGTCCAGATATGGTTATTCTTTAACTCAGCTGAGCCTGGCAGTCATTTGTGGGTTTCTCTTTTTTCTTTAGAAAGGGGAGGGGTGCACGCCACCAGCCTTACAGATTGTGCCATCAAACTACCTGATTTGCCTCTCTGTGCCTCAGTTCCCTCATCTTTAAGTGGGGATAGTAAGTACCTATTCATTAGGACTAAATAAGATAAAAGTAAAGAATTTAGAACAATGACTAGCAGATAGTAAGAACTTAGTAGATGTTAGCTATTTATTAGGAAACTAATAAATAAATAAATAATAGTTTGCTTGGAAGAGTAGAGGAGATCAAGTCTAACAACCCTGCTGCTCTCTTTTCCCAGATGGGAGGCTGGAGGTTGAGGGTGGGCTTAATTCCCACAGTGACAGGGCAGTTATGGGAACTCAGTCTCACATTCAGTTCTCACCTCAACTCCACCAAAGTACCCCCTTCCTGGATGACAGCTGTCAACTACATAGCTTTGACTGTGTGTCCAGCGCTGTACCGAGTGTGTTTGCATTTTCTTTAATCCCCACAGCAACGATATTAGAATAGGAACCATTTATATACCCAGGTGAAGAAACAGATGCAGAGAGATGTGGTTTGCCCCCAAACGCAGCTGAATTGGCAGAGCCGGGCTTCAAACCCAGTGAATCTGTCTTCAGAGCTCGGCTCCCAACTCCTACTTGGGCTAGAGGCTAACCCAACACTGAGCCCTGATCTTGGCCTTGCCCCTCCAGGCTTGTGGGGAGAAAGAATGCACCGCCTGGGCTGACAGCAGGGACGCCATGACGCTCCCCGCCTCCCCTAGGGAAGAGGAAGAAGATGCAGATTATTCCCAGCGCTGGTTGGGAAGCCTGGAGTCTAAGTCCAGGCCCAGCCTAGTAACCCGTTGCGTGACCTTTGGCCTGTGGGGCTCCAGTTTCTCGGGATGTCAAGCGGGTCCGGCTGGCAGTTAGGAGGCGGGCCGGCGGTGGGAGCGCGCACGTGTTCCTCCGCAAGCAGAACCTTGGGGGCGGCGGCTCCGGGGAGCAGGCGGCGCGGCCGGAGCGGCGGACCCGGCGGACCGAGGGGCGGGGCGGACGGCGGGGCGGGGCGGGAGGCGGAGGCGCCGCGTAGGCCCGGAGGCCGGGCGGGCCGGGCGGGGAGCTCAAGCTCCATGCGCCGCCGCCGCCCCCCACGATGTTCCCCGCGCGGAGGAAAGCGGCGCAGCTGCCCTGGGAGGACGGCAGGTGAGCGGCGGCTGGCCCGGGCCCCGTCCTCCCGGTGCTGCTCCTTTCCAGGCCGCCCCGCGGAGTCTGGGAGGCTGAGGCCGTCGCGTCTCCGTTTCTGCGGGTCTCTGTGCGGGTCTGGTGTTCCCTGTGGGTCACTGGCGCTGTCTGTGTGGGTCCCTGTTTCTAAAACCAGTCCCCATCGCTCCGCGCGTCTCTGCCTCTGTGTGTATCTCTCTCCCTTTCCCTTTGTGAGTGTCTGTTCTCTTTGCCAGTCTCCCTCATGTGTTTCCTTGTGTTTCTCCACTGGCTTCTATCTTCACGCAGGTTTGACTGCGCTGACTTCTCGCGGTGGGTCTCTATCTTTCCGTCTGTCCCTGCTCTCTGAGGCTCCTTCCGTTTCTGTTTTCTACCTCCCCCGTCAAATCCTTGTAGCCTCAGACACTGACCTCCCTCCCTCGTGCTTCCCCATCCTTCGCAGACCACCCGGAAGAACCCACCAGACAGATGCTCTGTATGCTCTGGCTGGCTGGCCACTGCCTGGCACGTACTGGGCACTCCTCATACATGCACTAAGTCATTTCCTGTGCAGCTGTCCTTGTCCTACGTGTAAGATGTGAGCTATGCCCAGCCCTTAGCTAAACATATTTCCCATTAAAACAGAAGGGGATCTAGATTTGGGAGGAACACCAACACTCTAGGCTTGAGATGTGCCCCCAAAAGCCTTCTGACCTGGCACACATGATGGTGGATGTCCACCCAGTGAATGGTGCCTCACTTCCATTATATGTCTTTAAGTTTGCCAGGTGCCATAAGATTCTGGAATTTAGTGGACACAACTCTTCTGGGGACTTTTCAGGCTTGATGTTGAAATGAGAAGACAGGGTTATAATAGAAAGCATGGACCATGGAGTCAGGCGCACCGAGCAGGAATCCTCTTTAATAATGTGACCAGAAACAGATCACTTAGTCTTTCTGACCTCAGCCTTTCCATCTGTGAAACAGTGATCATAATACCTACTTTGCAGGGTTGTATGAGGATTGAGGGAGTGCGTTGTATGTAAAACCCTTGGCACTGTGCCTGGTGCAGAGGAGGTGCCAGTTATCTTATAGTTACTTTTTCAGCTTTGAGGTGCTATAACCAGAGCAGCTGAGTTTTCAAACCTCGTATTGCTAAGGTTTATATGAAAGAAGAAAGGAAAGGTAATAGACGTGCATTTCTATTTCCTGATTGCTTTCCATGACTGTGTTCCCAGAAAAATTTACTGGTGTGCTTTTGACACAGGGTGCAAAGACCCAAGCGACAGATGCAGGCTAGTGTAGCAGTGAAGTGCTGGCTCTGGATCCAGCCTGCCTGCCTTTGAATCCACCTGTTACCAGCCTTGGTTAATAACTGGTGAAGGAGACAAAGTCTCATCTGGGCTACCCCTCAGAGCCAGGCTGGCCAGGGCCTGGGAGCCACCAGATTGCAGATCTGGCGTTTGCCACCAGGTGGCACCAGTGTCCTCAGTGTCCACTGTCCTGAGGAATTGGGACTCTGGGCCCAGTTCAGTTGCTCAATGGTTTGTGCCCTTAGAACACAGGACAAGAGTGCTCGTGGGGCCATGATCCTGGTAGGAAGGGGAAACAGGCTGAAGGAAATAGCATGCGGAAGTGTGTGGAATGCCAGTCCATGCCATAGCCCTGGATAACAGCCACTGCTTCTTTTCCCAAAGACAGGATGTTACGCTTTATCCATCTCCCCAGTCTCTACCCCATCCCCAGAAAGAGCCCAGAGGGCGAGGGAGAATCTGTAGAGGTTTCAGTCTTCCTAGGCCACTTGCAGGACTGGGCTCCACTCCTCCCCAGCAGAAACCACGACCACAGCACAATGCGGGGTAAGTCAGAAGCCCTGTGAGGGTGTCCTGCTGTGCCACCTCTCAGCTGCGTGTGGGACCTGGGCCTGGCTTCAGGGCTGCTGGCTTCCAGATTGGCAACTGTGCCTCTAGAGAAAGGTAGGAGTTGGTCTGGCTCTAGTGTGTGGCTTAAAGCATGCCCTGAATGCTTTAACCCTTCCTTTAACTCACTTAGCAAACCCTCTGCTGTCTGACTTGTGCTGGGGCCATAGACATGAATCTGACATGGTGTGACAAGCATTACAAGTAAGTGCTTTAAAGAGGGAAGTAAGATGCCATGGGAACACAAAGGAGGGGGCATGGTGGGAGCAAGGGGCAGTGCTGGCCATGGCATTGGAGTCTGGCCCTGAAGGATCAAAAGGGGGCTTCCACACAGATAAAATAAAGAAGGACATTTCAGGCAGAAGGAGCGGCTGGGCGAGGGCTGGAACAGGAAGGAATGTAGCGAGTGGAGAAGCTCTGAGTCTCCCAGCGTGACTTGGGGGCTTGGGAGCAACTGGAGATGGCCGGGTCACAGAGCGCTTTAACCGTCAGGCCAAAGAGTTTGGCCTTTACCTCGTAAACAGAGGAGAGTCATTCAGGAGGTTGAAGGGGTCTGAGCAGGGCAAGAACAGAGAGTGAGGAAGGACCAAAGAGGGACCTAGGAGGAAGAATCTATAAGGCTAATGCTGAGTCTTGGAGGTTGTGAAGTGATTCCTGTGCACATTGTTTCAGGGAGCAGTGGGAGGGGAATGTAGAGGAAGCTTCCATCTTCTTGGATTCCTCAGCTCCTCTCTCACCATACTCAGGAACTTCCAGAGGAGGGGCAAAGACACCTGGTGAATTCCACCTGTTTCTTTGTGTGTGCTACGCAAAAGGGCAGCTTCCCCGCATCACCACAATGTCTAAGATGTTCAGCTATTTTTGCAGTTTCCAAAGTGAGCTTGGGTGCTGTACCCAGCCATCGTCTTTCTTTCCTTCTTCCATCTCTCGTCTCATCACACGGGCTGGCTCTTGGTCTGAAGCTCTGAGACTCATTAGTGAATTCCTGTTGTCAGTTGGGTCTTGCATTGCTTTGGGTGCAGGTGTGATCTTGCCAGAATAAAACTGATTCTCCAAAGAAAACTGGTTGTTTTGCCTGGGACTGATGCCAGCACTCACCCATGTCTGCTCAGCCTCAGAGCAGGATGAAGCCAAAGTTTCTGCTGGGGTGGATCTGCAGGGGTGGATCTGCAGAGGTGGATCTGCAGGGGTGGATCTGCAGAGGTGGGTCTGCAGGGCAGCAGGTTTGGAAGGCAGTGGGTTGGAGCTCTCTAAGGCGGGGTTCCTGCCGTTGGCTCAGGACATCGAGCCACTGTCGTGGGGAGGGCAAGTGCAAGGCCCTCGAGCTGCTCACGGTCTGGCCAGGATTCACTCACAGAAAATAAGAGCTCATAGAGGAACTGGGGCAGCTCTGTGACCTGAGAGAGGTCCGGCGGCTTCCCAGAGGCGGATGGCATGAGTGGATCCAGAGTCAGCAGGATTCCTGACGTGCGCTAGGAACGTGAGCGAAAACAGTACAGTTGCTTCTGCACTAATTTCCAGGTGCTCGGGGTAGACCAGGTGTGTGCACCCTGCCTGTGGGGAGGCCAGAGAAGGGTCTGTCAGAGGGCCCCAGCTCAGCTTGCCCTTCTGACCCAGTCCCTGCTCTTGTCCCAGGTCCAGGTTGCTCCCCGGCGGCCTCCCCCGGAAATGCTCCGTCTTCCATCTCTTCGTTGCCTGTCTCTTATTGGGCTTCTTCTCCCTACTCTGGCTGCAGCTCAGCTGCTCTGGTGACGTGGCCCAGGCAGCCAGGGGACAAGGGCAGGAGACCTCGGGGCCACCCCGGGCCTGCCCCCCAGAGCCACCCCCTGAGCACTGGGAAGAAGACGCATCGTGGGGTCCCCACCGCCTGGCAGTGCTGGTGCCCTTCCGTGAGCGCTTCGAGGAGCTTCTGGTCTTTGTGCCCCACATGCACCACTTCCTGAGCAGGAAGAGGATCCAGCACCGCATCTACGTGCTCAACCAGGTGGATCATTTCAGGTAGGGGCCTCACCGCCCCCACCCCCACACCTAGCTCTCTTCTCCTGGGCCCCCTTGCCCGGGCCCCTCAGGGCCTGCTCCCTGTCCTGGCAGTAGTCCAGACGCCTGTGAGGGAGGGCGCAGATGGCAGCAGCCCCTGCTGGGTATGGCGGGAATCTCTGGGGAGGGCGCTGATCTCATGTCCGTTTTATAAAGTCACTGTGGCCGCTGTATGTAAAGTAGCTTATACTGGGACAAGAGAAGGAGCAGGGAGACCACTTAGGCGTAGTGGCAGTTGACTGAGGTGGCCGAGGCGCAGTGACGCGGCAGAAGCGGGTGCAGAGAAGTGACGCAACGGAAGCAGTCCGGGCTCTCGGAGATGGGCCAGGGGTTGGCAGAAGGGAGGGTCAGGGCCACGGCTTTAAGTTTGCCCACAATCTGATGTTACCCTAAGATCCTCACCCTTACCCCAAACTGCTGCCCTCCCCTGCCCTCGGCGACCACAGTGTAAGAACCCTGCCCTCCCGCCCACACCTGCTTTCCCTCAGCCCCGCCTGCTGGAAGATGACTCAGCGATCCGGCCCTGCCCAGCCCGCTAGCCTCCTCCTACCTCTCACCACCACTCCCCGAGTCCTGCTCCATCATTCAGATCACTCCCTCACGCGCGCCCTCAAGCCCCTGGCCACTTTCTGGCTGACATGACCGCAGCCTGGCAGATCCAGCTCGGTCCGCCCCACCCCGCACCCGGGCAGCCGCGCTGCCCACCTCCCTGCCGATGGCCCCAGCCAGGGAGGCCGTCGGTGCTGCGGCAGGCCTCACATCCCCCAGTGTGTCCATGGCAGCCTTCGACCTTCTCTTCTCATTCCTCCCTGTCCTCACGCCGAGCTGGCGGCTTTGCTCCTGAGTTGAGAAAACGGCAGACAGCTTTCCCCAGTGCCCACACTCGCACCCACCTCCCAGCTGCTGCGCGTGGGGGTCCTCCCGGGCAACTCCCCGTCCCCGCCCGCCCGCAGCACACGCCCGCAGCACACGCCCGCAGCACGCGCCTTACTGAGGTGGCTCCCCTCTAAAAAGACAAAGACTCCCTTGAGCCCACACGCCCCGCAGCTGTCACCCCACTTCTCTGCTCCCCTTTTTAGCAAAAATTCCCTTTCTCTCCCCTCGTTTTCTCTTGAACCACTTCCACTCAGATGCCTACCCCATCATGGCACTGAAGCCGCTCTCATTGAGGTCGCCGAGCTCCTGCTCTTCATTAACCCAAAGGCGTGAGCCGGGCAGCAGCATTTGCTTCTTCCTTCTTAAAGCGGCCCGCTTGATGTCTGGGACGTGGGCCACCCCTTCTCGTCACCTCTGCTGGTTCTTCCTCACCTCCCTGATCTCCCACCACTGGCACTCCTTGAGGCTCAGTGCTTGGGTGGCCCCCCTTTCTAGCTACAGCTACTCCCTGGGGGAGCTCATCTCATCTCATGGCATAGCATCCTGTCTCTACCCTGATCACCCCCAGCTCTGCGTTCCTGGCCCAGACCTCTCTGCTGAACTCCAGGCTCTCCAGTCCGGCCACCTGTGCGGCCTCCGTGCGTGGCTGAGAGGCTCTGTGAGCTTGCTGTGATCACGGTGGGATTCCTGAGGGCCCCCAACCCCAGACCTGCTGCCCTGCCCTTCCCTCTTGCCCGTCTCAGCAATGGAAGCTCCAGGCTTCTGGTTGCTCAGAGCAAAAAGCCCTGCAGTTGTCCTCAACTGCTCTTTCTCTGTCACACACACATCCGGTCCATCAGCAAAATACGCCTAGAATTTGCCAGCTTCTTGCCGTTGGCACATTGGGCCGCCATCGTTTCTTGCCTAAGTTATGGTCATGCCTCCTGCTGGAGTCCGTGCTTCCCCCTGCCCTGACACTGACCAGAGGGGTCCTGCACACACGGAAGCCCCAGCACGGTCTGCCCCTGCTCAGAGCCCTGCAAGCTCACCCGGAGTCAGGGCCCAGTCCTCCAGTGGCCCGCGAGCCTCATCCCGACCTCGTCCCCTCCGCCCTTCACTCTGCCGGCCACCTGCTGTCTGCTCCTGCCCCAGGCCCTGCAGTGCTGCTGCTGCAGCTCAGAGCCCTATGCCATGTGGCTCATTTCCTCAGGCCTCTGGTTTCTGCTCAGGTGTCCCCATCACCCTGGCCCTCACCGACAGCCCTGTCTGGGGCATAGCTGCCCCGCCCTCCTCCCTGCTTTACTTTGCTCCACGGCACTGATGCCGTCTGCTTTGCTCTGTGTTTACTTGTCTATTTTTGTCTCCTCTTATTAGAATGTCAGCTCCTTGAGAGCAGGGCCTGGTTTCTTCACTGCCGTAGATGCAGTGGTTTGAGAGGTTCTGGTAGTAGGTGCTCAGTAAACGTTTGTGCAACGAGTGGAGGGGACAGCCCTGCACAGTGAAGTCAGTGCCGGGCTGGAGGGTGGCAGAGGCACCACAGGGCCACGGGGTGGGTGCTGTGGAGGAGAGGCTCCCACGCAGGGCTCCCGCCCCTGCCCGGCCTTGGCCGCCCTGCACAGGTTCAACCGGGCGGCACTCATCAACGTGGGCTTCCTGGAGAGCGGCAACAGCACAGACTACATTGCCATGCACGACGTGGACCTGCTCCCTCTCAACGAGGAGCTGGACTATGGCTTCCCTGAGGCCGGGCCCTTCCACGTGGCCTCCCCGGAGCTCCACCCGCTCTACCACTACAAGACCTACGTCGGTGGCATCCTGTTGCTCTCCAAGCAGCACTACCAGCTGGTGAGGCCTGGCTCAGCCCTCTCTGCTCAGCCTGGGTGGAGGTGGAAGGCAGGATGGAGCGGTGCTTCTGGGGCCTGGGGGACGGAGCCTGCCTTGCCCCAGCAGGAGCAGCAAGTCAGCTGCAGGAACGGAAACACCCGTGCAAGCGGGCTTCAGAAAACTGGGGATTTATTGGCCCTTGACAATGACAAGTGTGGGCAGGATAGGGAGAGGGTTTGGCTTCAGGTACGGCTTGCCCACCTCTCAGAAAGTGTCACCAGGACCCCATTTTTCTGTCCATCTCTCAGCTCTGCCTTCCCTACATTGGGTTTATTTTCAGACGTGCAGGATGCAAGGTGGCTGTTGTAGCTACAGCCTGTGTGCCTCTCGGCTCCACTCTGGTGGAAGACTGGGCTGGGCTTCCACAACAGCCCAAATGGGACTCCTGGGACTGAACCACACTGGTTTTTAATTGGTCCAGCTTGAGTCCTGGGCCCATCCCTGAATCCGTCACTGCCGGTGGGGTGGGAGGGTGGGAAAAACCAGGTGGCTTAGGCCCAAGTCTCCTCTCCAAGCTGTGTCAAAAGCCAGCCTTTATAAGTGAAGCCCCCGAGCTGGGTGCAAGGACAGCTGTCTGCCGTGGGCCCAGCTGTCCCTCTCACACACACAGGAAGAGACTAGGGCAGGCTGCCCAGGAGGAATGGGAGCACGGGGGAGGCAGAATTCAAGTGGGAGTTGGCGATTCTGCCCATTGACCGCTCCCAAGAGAGGTCCCCTCTGGCCAGCAGGACACTTTCGAGGTGATTATCTCACACCGGTTCAAGGTCCCATTAGAGCAGGGAGAGGGACCGGCAAGTGCTGACCCTCCTCCGTGCCCCAGTGTCGCAGAGGCTAAGGGAGATGCAGGCCCCTGGTGTGCATTCAGAACAGCTAGGGGAGGAGGAGGAAGAACGGTCTGGGTACACCCAAGAGGTGGGGGACCAAAGGGCACCCCTGGGAGGATGGGGCAAGTGACGCTGCCTGTCTCTGTGTCAGTGCAACGGGATGTCCAACCGCTTCTGGGGCTGGGGCCGCGAGGATGATGAGTTCTACCGGCGCATTAAAGGAGCCGGGCTCCAGGTAAGGCTCCCCCAGAGTCCTGCCTCAGCCTCAGCCTCAGCCATCATGGCTGCCCTGAGGTTCTCTTTGTCCTCAGATGAAGATCCTTGGGGTTGTGCAGATGGCATCCCTGGTTCTGATCTCTGCCCCAACCTTCGCGTGCAGCGGTCATCTAACTAGTCCCTGCTCTCTGGACCGCAGTGCCTTCTAATGCAGGGCGGGAACGCAGGCCTCTGCCTGTGGCTTCCTGGCAAGCAGTGGGGCCTCAGGGGAGCTAGCGGTGAGGGCCAGGGCTCCAGGAGGGATGGCCTGACCCCAGCTTCCTTTGGCCTCCTAGCTTTTCCGCCCCTCGGGAATTACAACTGGCTACAAGACATTTCGCCACCTGCATGACCCAGCCTGGCGGAAGAGGGACCAGAAGCGCATCGCAGCTCAAAAACAGGTGCTGACTGGTCTCCTCATCGGGGACAGACAGGTGGTATGTGGGGGACCAACAGGCCCGAGCCTTTCACCAAGTTCTCCTTGGGCCCACGTGGCCCGTCCTCCCCTGCTTGGCCCAGGTCAGTTGACAGGCATCGTGCTTGGGCACCATGCCCTGCTCTGGTGGCTGCCATAGGCACCCTGGGCACTGTGCGTCAGCCCAGACCCTAGGGTCCTTGCAGGCTGGCGGGGGTGGGGGAGGCTCAGCTGTCACACCCACGGTGCCGGGATCCCTGTCCCTCCCCCAGCCTCTTCTCCAGCAGGCAACTCCCTGCCCTCCTGCTCACTGGTGGGGTGCAGCCTTGGGCCGGAGACTTAGGGTTCCTCCTCTTATCAGTGGGGATCCCAGGACCTGTGGTGACGAGGTTGTGTGGGCTCAGTGACAGCAGAGACCCATGCAGCCCTGAGTACATGTGCTGTCCTTTCGTTCCCAGGAGCAATTCAAGGTGGACCGGGAGGGCGGCCTGAGCACTGTGAAGTACCGTGTGGATTCCCGCACCGCGCTGTCTGTGGGCGGGGCCCCCTGCACTGTCCTCAACATCATGCTGGACTGTGACAAGGCCGCCACCCCCTGGTGCACACTCGGCTGAGTTGGCTAGACAGTGAGGAAGCCTGTGCCTACAGGCCGCCCTGCTGCTCATGCTCAGGACAAGGCCTCCTGCCCAGCTCCGCAGGACATGGAGCAGCCGGGAGCGAGACGGCAAGCTACGCCTGTGCGGCAGCCCAGCCCCAGAGGCGGCTCGAGCTGGGACAGGACACGTGGGCTGCCTGGGACGCTGCTAGCAACGAACAGAGGCCTGATCGCAGAGGCTGGGGTGTGGCTCCCAACTGGGCCTCGCCGTCTTCCTTCCCACTTGCCCTACTCTGCCCTACGAAGACCTGCAGGCAGTGGGGCGGGTGGAGCAGGCCCACCCCTCACCACCCTCCCTTTTGTTCCTTCCCACTGGACCGCCTCCCGCGGAGATGCAGTTGAGGAGCCGTGCAGCGGATGTAGGTGGCAGTTGTGACTGGGAGGGTTAGAACTCCAAAAACCAGAGCACAAATCCCACAGAAAGAACAGCCAGTCCCAGCTCTAGCTGGTTGTCATCATGCAGGGATGTGGGTCTGGTGTCGCCAGATCTTCCGATTTCTCAAGAGAAACTAGGATACTGGATTCTTAAGTGAAATCTTCTGGTTTTTAAATGATAGCGACTCAGTGAAACTTTCAAAAAGTATGGCAGGCCAGACAAAACGTGCTGTGGTCCACCGGTTCATCACCCTTGTCGGAGGGGCAGGGGCAAAAGGTGATACCTTTCTTAGCTGTAAGCTGGCAAGGAGGGGGGGAAGGGCTGGGGCCAGGCCCAGGCGGGAGGGGAAGGCAAAGGCATGAGGTTCCTGTACCCCCCAGCCCTCCAGCCTCTGGCCGGCTCCCTGGTGCCCCTCTTGGCCTCCTGACCCTGGGCTGGCCGCTTCATGTTGCCTCGCTGAGTCGAGTCAGGAAAGAAAGCTGCTGAAGAAATGGACGCACAGGCCTGGACTCAGGGTAGGCAGGACGTGGTGACGCCTCAGCCTAGAGGGAGGGGACCTCAATTCTGAGGTGGGAGAAGAAGATGGGGAGAAGTAGGAGGATCCTGGAATGTTCCCAAAGCATGAGGGCAGGTGACGGTGATCACCGAGTGCCATGATCACCGAGCCGAGTGCCCGGGGAGGCGAAGGAGGAGCAGCCCAGGGGAGCATGGACTTGGGGAGTGCTCCTGGAGGAGTCACTCAGAGGAAAGGCCGGGACCCTGAGAGGGGAGGTGAGGGCTCTGCAAGGCAGGCACGCCTTCCAAGTGTTTGGCTGCCAGTGATTTGGGGCAGAGTCAGAGGAGACCGTGGGCCCAGTTCGGGTTGGTTGGTTTAGCACTGGGACACCTGTAGTGCTGGGGAGGGAAGGGATTGAGGTCGCAGAGTGCAGGAAGGCAGACCTAACAGCCCCGGTCCAAAAGACTCCCCTGAGGGTGATCTCAGGGCTGCTGTGTGCAGCTGCTGTGTGCACACGTTGTGTACTGTGTAACCTGTGTGTGAACCAAGAGACTTAAGCAGAGATGGCTGGGGTAAAGCTTCAGACTCAGATGTTTAACCAGGGTTGTTGTGATCCTAAATTGACCTTGCCCAGCGATCCAGCTTCACCCACTATAGTGAGGGGCACACAGGTCTCGACTACAGTTCAGGGTGCTGGAGATGGGAGTGGCGCTTTCTGTGTGCCAGTCTCCTGGGCGACCCAGCGGCCGCATCACGGACTCACACATAACACGGAGCAGTAGCACCAGCTCCTGGAGTTGGTGGCAATGGGTGTGATAGCAAAGTTCCCCGCTCTGTACTCTCCTGGCACATAGGAAGACCTGAAAAAAATGGGGGTTCCTTCCTGTCCACCTGCACGAGGGAAGTGGAATGAGCAGAGGAAAAGTGAAGAAGATCCTTTTACCTTGCGGGGGCCAGCCGACAGCCCGGCCTCAGCGCACGTCTAGCCCTGTGTCCCTGCACTCCCCCTGGCCACCGACCGCCCCCACCACCGTCTTCGAGGCTCTGTGGGATGCCCCACTCCAGGCTGATGCAGCCCAAATCTACAGCCCGCCACTCCCCATCCTGGGCCTCCACCACTCTCCAGGGAAGGGAGAGGGCTGAGCCGCGGATGGCAGGGAGAAATGGGCAGCCCACTGCTTCCTTAGTGCCTCTGCCTCTACCCCTGGAGTGAAACTAACATCCCCGCCTGGCTGGCCAGGGTGTGGGTCAAGTGAAGCAAGGACAGGCTGGGCGAGGTGGCTCCTTTCTGTAATCCCAGCACTCTGGGAGGCCAAGGTGGGAGGATTGCTTAAGCTTAGGAGTTCAAGACCAGCCTGAGCAAGAGTGAGACCCCGTCTCTACTAAAAATAGAAAAACTAGCCAGGTGTGGTGGTGGTAGTGCCTGTAGTCCCAGCTACTCAGGAGGCTGAGACGGAAGGATCTCTTGAGCCCAGGAATTGGAGGTTGCAATGAGCTATGATGACATGACTACACTCCACCCAGGCAACAGAGTGAGACTCTGTCTCAAAAAACAAATAAATAAAAAAGGAAACTGAATGCCCCTCCCCACCATCCCTCCTTTCCTATTCTAAAAAAAAAAAAGTGAAACCAGGACATAGGAGCACCTGGCACAGCACTCGGCCAGCATAGTGGATGTGATAATAACAACTACCACTTGTTGAGCATTCACCACATAGAAAATTCTTTTTTTTTTT